AAAACAGGCCCTGCAGAGCACTGCAGAGTGCTTCTGGGGGCCTGGAACGTGATGCACTGAAGGCATGGGAACCCCAAAACAGGCCTGTTTTTGGTGGAAATGGGTCCATTTTTGGTGAAAATCGGCCTTGCAGAGCCCTGCAGAGTGCTTCTGGGGGGGGGGGCAGGGAGGGCAAAAATGCAACACATGGAAGCCAAAAACTATTTTTTCTTATTTTCCTCCTGTAAATTTAGGTGTCTCTTATAGTCCAAAAAATATAGTAGTTGTGTCCTCACCTACTAACACAGATTAGAACCAGTGCAAAGGAAGAAGAGAACCATCATGACCTCATTTCCATACCTTGGAGATTGTCCATAACCATACTATGATTGAAGATTTGAAATGCCACAGACAGATCAGACTAGGGAAATTGTACTATTTCTATCTCAATCTTGACATTCCACAAGGGCAATCAGTGCCCTGTCAGTATTATATTCAACCATACAAAACAACAACATCAACAACAACAACAAGCCGCATTGAAAAAGGTCCTGATTCTTGGATGGAGCAAAGACACAGATTGGACTCCAAAGAGAAAGCAGAACAATTTTATGAAAAATAGTTTGGACCACAAGAGGAAATGTAGCATTGGCTTACCTGATACGCTCATTTTCTGAAGAAGTGGAGATAGCATCCCTGTGTGAGTTATTCTCATATACCATCCAATAGAACTGAGTCTGCAAGTCCCTCCTCTTCCTGCTGAGATCCCCAGCTTTTTGTATGAGACTAATATGCAGACAGACGTGCGTGAACAAAAAAATGATCTCTCCAAGAATAACAGCCCGGATTCCAAGGGTGGGGCTGAATGCTGTCTCCATTTGTTCAGAAAATGAGCATAGGTAAGCCAACACTACATTTTTCTGACTCAATGGAGACAGCATCCCTGTGTGGAACATACCAAAGCATGTCTAGCATCACAGGTGAGAAACCTTCCGGGACGAATCCCCCTGATTAACCCTGACCAGCTGTAAGACTCTCCTCCCAAAAGCCGCATCAGCCGATGTGTACCTGTCAATCCTGTAGTGTCTAATAAAGGTGGATGGAGACGACCACGTGGCCATGCAATGGTGCCCGTGTGCCCCAGGTGGCCGCCCTACATGTCGAGTGTGCCGTAATGTTATCTGGATTGGGCTGAGCCTGAGAGGAATATGCCTTTGCAATGCATGCCCTGATCCACCTTCCCAAGGAGGCAGATAACGCCTTGAACCCCATAGAGTCTGGCTGAAAAGATACAAACAGGGCTTCTGTGGAATGGAAAGTTGATGTTCTCCATAAATAGATCTCCAAAGCTCTTTGGACGTCTATAATGTGCCACCTACATTCCAGGTGATGGACTGATTGTGGACAGAAGTTGGGGAGAACCAATTCCTGTGTGCGATGAAAGATGGAGTTTACCTTGGGGATGAATGCTGGGTCCACCCTGAGAACCATCCTGTCCAAATAGATAGTGCACAAGTCCTGTTGCATGGAAAGAGCCACTAACTCTGAAATTCAGCGAGTGGACATGATAGCTATTAGAAACAGTACCTTTTGTGACATGTAGAGAAGAATAGTGTCCTGCAACGGCTGGAATGTAGCCTGGGTGAGTGCTTGAAGGATGAGTGGTAGATCCCAGGACAGGTATTGATGCACGGTTGGAGGGTGTAAGTTGATGGCACCCTTCAGGAATTGCCAAATGAGCAGTTCGGTGGTCAGCGATCTGTCAAGTCCAGAGCAGAGGATGGAATAGAGGGCTGCAACTTGTCGTCAAAGGGTGTTAGGTGCCAAACCTGTAGCCAATCCATCCTGCAAGAAGTTGAGGATATGACACATCTGTCCCTGGGTAGGGGCCACCCTTTTGGTCCAGCACCAAGCGCAGAAGGCCTTCCAAGTGCCATCATAGTTTCGAATAGTGGAGGGCCTCCTGGCTGCCTGGATCATCCAAATGACTTCTGGTGAAAGGCCCTCCACTATCATTGAGCACTGCTGAGCCTCCATGTAGTTAATTTGACCCACTGCAGATCCCGATGTGCCCCCTGAAAGAGCGAAGTCTTGGAGGGAGGGTCCCTCCATGGAGGAGCGATGGATAGAGACAGGAGATCTGTGAACCACAGGTGTCGAAGCCAGTTGGGGGCCAGAAGGACCAACTCCGCCCGCTCTTCCAGCATTTTCCTGATGACCCGCTGGATCAGGGGAAATGGAAGGAAGGTGTAAAGAAGGCCTGACGACCAGCGACATTGTAGGGCATCCCTCC